GTTATTGCCCCGCTCGGCTCCCTGAAAGCGGGAATGGTCGTGACGGGCGGTTGGTACGGTTGACGTCTCCTCGATCTCTTCTGCGGCCCGCGCAACCGGCAGCTTCGCTCTAGAGTGCTCCCGTCCTCTCGAGTGTGCAAGCACGCGCTTCGCATCTTTGTTCCCCCGCCCCTACAAACCTAACCCTTAGCCCCGCCCTTCGCACCCTTCACCTTGATTTTGTTGAGCACCCCGCTCGTCTCCAGCGTCTGCACGAGGAGATCTCTCAGCTCCGTATCTTCCTCCGTCGTCGCCGCCGCCATCTTGCTTCTCCCTGACAACCGCCTAAACTGTAGCCGCGATCTACCCAGCCTCGCAGATTCGTTCCTCTAGGAAGGGGAGGGGCTTCGCCGAAGCACGTGACCAACCGGCCTCCCGTCAACTCGAAGGAGCAGGTGAAGCGTCACCCGCGCGAAGTGTGCGGGCAGCCGCGCTTTTAGGCGCCTCGAGCGTGCGAACGGCCAACTTGGCACCCAGCTCTGCGATTGGCTGGAGAGACGCAGAGGCGGGAGTTTTATGAAGCGGCGAATTTTAATCGAGTTCGGTTTGGGTTTGCGCGAGCGAAAAAACTTCCTCAGTCTCCCACATGGGAGGTCCCGCCAGCTGGAAGAAGTGAAATATTGATGTTCAGCCTAGGGTGGCTGGGTGCTTTTCCAGCAAAATAATAATTCCTTCCCTAGAAAAGAGACGTGGGAGGGATAACGTGTTGTTTTCACTTGTCCCGATGGCCTCCTTTACATGGAATAGAGTAAAAATAAAATAAAATAATGGGGGAGGGCAGCAGTGCTGGATTTGTAGTTTGGAAGAGAGACTAGGAAATCACGCTGTAACCAAGAGTGGGAGTCAAAGAGAAAAAGGATACTAGCAAACAACGTTCTTGACAATAACATGAAAGTAACGTTAATTTAGTCAATATGTGTAGAGAACATTTATCTTTTCTAAGCCTTACACAGAAGTACAGAATGTAGATGAGAACATTATTTTCCATCCCTGTTTCTTGGTTGTATAAATCTTCAAATTTTATGTCACCATCTGTGCATGAGCAGGAATTATGGTACCCAAAGTAGATGAAATCAACCACTTTTTCTAGAGTGCAGTACTTTGACCAGCTGTTATCTGGAATTGCTGTCCATGGTAGTTCCTATAAGGATACAAGTAGTCCAAGATTTACAATCAGAATTGGGACCAGAATTTCTATTGCTAAGCAAGGCATTTGTTTTTATGACTTTATAATCTTCTATGATCTTTTTTGTCACTGTTGTTAAGCGAAAGGCTATGGCTATTAAGTGAACCATGTGTTGTTAAATAAATCTGACCTCCCCCATTGATTTTGCTTGTTGGAAGCCAGGTGAGAAGGTCACAAATGGCAGTCATATAATTCCAGGACACTACATCATAAATACATTCTGGTTGCTAAACACTTAAATTTTGATCATGTGATCATGGAGATGCTTCTACAATTTTAAGTGCAAAGAGCGGTTTAAGTCATTTTTTCAGTGGTATAACTTTGAAGCACTGCTAAATGAATGATTGTTAAGTCAAGGACTACTTATACAATATAAAAATAACTTTCCCTAAATAAATAAATTGCTGAAGTATTAAATGCAAATCAACACATATTTTCAGCCCACTTTTATCTGCTGTCAGGAGCATTATACTTTGAAGTAATCAACAAATAATTTAATTGGACTTGTTAGTTCCAGCCTCTAATATGTAATTAATTTTTTTTCATTTTTAACAGAGATGAGCAATTAATTAAATATTTAAAAATAACCACTTATAAGTTAATCTTAGAAGTATAGGCCACAATGATTTGAACTTTCAGATAAGTATGTTTAGACCAGAGACTTTCATGTTGAAAATGTGCACTATAATGGATGTGACATGTGAACCACTTTTAATATATTTTCATAGGATTGGCTGTGTGTCTAGCACCTGTATCTATTGTGTTACAATTTTAAAGTAGCTGAAGACCTAAGAGAAAAATGTGGTATCACAAAATAATACTTTAAAGATACCATAAATGAAATTGCTAACTGCAAAGAGTAGAATTGTTCCAGTTAGTAAATGCCTAATAGAAAATTGAATATGAATATTTACCAGCTTGATCAACTGCCGTTAATTCCAAAATGTTAGTGTTCCTTTGGATTTTGCTGCTCCTGCAGTGCACATTCTAAGAATTTTCATCAGTACAAATAAGCTTGAACAAACTTTTCTAAAAGAGCCACTTTTTGTAGCACTGTAAACTCCAAGTCTTTAACAAAAGCTGAATATTTTGTGTTAAACAGGGTCTCTGCAATACAATGTTGGAAATGCCCCCCCCCCCAAAGTAACAGATTAACTCTACACTACTGGGATACGTCTAACATTTCTGCATGGTACTGGGTAATGAGAGTTAAACCTTCTGATGTGTTTTTTTATCTTTCTGATAAAGACTAACATGTGGCATTTATTACTTCTAGAATCATGCTGCAGGTGGCACTAAAAATACATGTCCTAATTTGTAAAAGCAACAGTCTTCAAAGTAGTCTGTCAAAGAAATCCGACTGCAAAGATTATTTACTAGCTGAAACTTTCTGAGACTCTGGGGGTGCCACTTCAGCAGTCGCTGAGGCTATTGGGGGCCAATTGGGGATGCCAGAGCTGCTGGGGAGACAGCAGCCGCCGGCAGTGCAGCAACAGCTGTGGGGGTGGCTGCAGCCCCTGACCATATTCCAACCACTGAGGGGCCTGCAGCACCTGGGGATGCCGCAGCCACCATGGGGAGGCCAGCAACTGTTGGGGGTGCAACATGCACAGTTAGGAGGCCAGCAACCACTGGGAATGCAGGCTCACTGGGGAGCGCGGCAACTGCTGATGGCGCCACCCCTTAGAACAACTTTTGATGGGGACCCAGAGAAGCTGATCTTCCTCAACCAAGTGCATTCCCACATGAACCACTGTGCCTATTTTTCCCCAAACCCAGCTGCTATGATCGGCATGGTTGCGACCAACTTGGAAGGAGAAGCATCCAAGTGGCTGAACAATTTATACAACGAGCAAGCACCTGAGTTGGGGGATCTCCACCTCTTCCTTCTAGGACAGAGAGCAAGGCTTGAGGACCCATCCATGGCCCTCAAAGCGGAGGAGCTGATTACATCGCTCTATGTAATGAAGTATTGCTTGTTTATAGTTTTCATTCTTCCAAACTAGATTATAAATAGGTTGTTTGTAATGGTACTAATTCTGCGTGTATGTTCTAGTGGCATTTTCTGCCAATTTCCTCAGATTCAACTAAATTGATATGCCTAAGTAGCCTTAATATTACACAGCAAAAGAAAATAATGAAACACTAAGGCCTGTGAAGACTGTGGCCATGCTTTAGAGCAGGGGTCTTCAAACTTGCCTGGCTGAGAATTTCTGGGAGTTTAAGTCCACAAGTCATAAAAGGGCCAAGTTTGAAGACCCCTACCTTAGAGGCTATTCATGGGTTCTATAGATACTTGGTTGTTTCATGTTTGAAACAGTAATCTTGTAAAAAATAAAGGTTGAAATACATTTCTCAAAATATTTAAAAAACATCTGGAAAATCACAAATATTGCTGAACAAATTCAGCATTTGTGTCAAAAGGATCTCCATTATAAAATATGAATTATCCTTCATTATAGTTCATTCTGATTTATGTGAGTTTGCAACTAATCAAATAGTTTGTATCTACACCATATACTTATGTTTAAGCTGAGTTTGCTCAATACTAATCAAGCTGGCTAGGATTGAATAGTACATTTGGATTCAACACATTTGTCTTCCTTTTAATCAATCAGAATAGAGCTGGAAGGGACCTTGGAGGTTTTCTAGTCCAGCCCCCTGCTCAAGCAAGAGTCCCTAAATCATTTCAGACAGCCTAAGTGGCTGTCCAGTCTCTTCTTAAAAACCTTGAGTGATGATTTAGTTGGTTATTTAAATATTTGAAAATATTTATAGAATTTATAGAACATTTCCAATAGAGCATCTATAGAATAAACCTATAGTCTTTAAGTGTTTCACAAAAATACCAAAATTCACATTTATGTCAGACTTGGCAAAGCCCATTGATTAGAGTTGATGTGTGTTAATTACACATGATCAGACTGTTTCAATGCGTGCTTGCTTGAAAGTTCCACCAATTTTAAAGGAGATATTTTATTTATTTATTTATTTATTTATGAGACTTATATAGCGCTTATTTCCCAACATATCGGATATACACTCGCCTAGACTGATTTAATAAACTTATCAATAGTTTAAAAAATCACAAACTATCAGTGTATAATTGTTTATGGTATTACTGTATTTCACAGTGCTAACTACCTTCTATAGCGGGGATATAGGACATCTGAAATGGATATAGTCTTACATATATGTGTGCACATATGTTTAACATTAATCATACGGAAAAGAAGCGATTAGAATCTTAAGCAATGTTGAGAGGCAACGTATATCACAACCCCCTTTTCTTTGTCTTCTACCCAGCACAGCAAGAAAGTTAAATGGGCGGGATTTGTTTAACATTAATCATACGGAAAAGAAGCGATTAGAATCTTAAGCAATGTTGAGAGGCAACGTATATCACAACCCCCTTTTCTTTGTCTTCTACCCAGCACAGCAAGAAAGTTAAATGGGCGGGATTTGTTTAACATTAATCATACGGAAAAGAAGCGATTAGAATCTTAAGCAATGTTGAGAGGCAACGTATATCACAACCCCCTTTTCTTTGTCTTCTACCCAGCACAGCAAGAAAGTTAAATGGGCGGGATTTAATGCCGCAACGGAAGTGCTGGCCCCTATAGGGAAGCGAAAGTACACGGACCTGAGGTTTTCTGATTGGTTTTCGCAAGCCAGGCAAAACAAAGTCGGGAGGCTTTTTGACTTTTTGATTAAAGAGTTCAGTTCCTGAAGTGTGAATCTTGGATAGTAAGTCTTTCTGTTTTGAAGGGGTTTTATAAGTAGGGATAATTTCAGTTCTTTGATTAGTGTGCGGTTTTGTTTCAAAACAAATCGGAATCAGGATTGGTTCATTATAAAGCTCCTAAAACTGGCTTTGTATCGAAAAACAATTATGCTGGTACTTTGCCCTATAGTATGTCCGTCGAGATATACGGCGAACTATCCGGTAGGTAGAGGCTGTAAGAAATGGATCCTTGAAGATTTGTATTTTGATTTTGCTTGAACTCATTTCGGACGGAAGAGCAGTCTGCTTTATTTATCAGAGAGGACTTCTGAATAAGCCTCGATAAGGGTTTCTCAGGTTTGCTTGTTTAGAATCTGCGTTTATTCAGTATGACTATTTCTTTCATGTGGAGCAAAAAATATCTATATTAACTAAACAGAAATTAAACCTTTGGATAATATTTGAGAATTTGCTACTTCAATCGGTTTTAATGTTGGGTTCTTAAAATACGCCTCGAGTTTTTGTTTTGTATAATTTGACAGAACTCTTCTGTGTTGTTTTGTTTAGCTGAAACCTTGATAAGAACTAGTGCGTAATTCTTGCATGTAACTTAAAGTTATTAGATATATAATATAATGACAGATGTACTTCCATAAAATGGTACAATCTATGAGATCTCTGGCTGCCTTCATCTAGGCACTGAGTAGAGCTAGATCAGATTAGCTTTGAAAAATTATTATACCATTTGTACACATGAAGCAATAACCTTTCAAAACTAACTTGGTCTAACTCCACATTAACCTCAATCTTAAAAGGTAACCATATCAAAGATTAAATCATACCACTTGCCCATAGCTAAAGGAGCAATGATTTACTTAATATGAGAGTTTATATGATGGACTGAACCATAAATAATCATACCAAATGGGTTTGTATGATACATTAATCTAAAATTTGGCTGGTTGCTCATTGCTCTGTGTGTAGTAGCAATACAAATGTAGCCTCCCCTTGATTAACTATAAAGTTGGAACTGAAAAGGAATGATTTGGTCAAACATAACATTATTTTATTTATACATTATGCTTACAGTCAATGAACCAAGCTATTTTATGTTATAAAGCATATCAACTTTTAGAAAAGTATTTTTTCTGTTTACTCTACACAACTAACATCTGCAAAAAAAAAAAAAAAATGTTGCACTATACCACTCTATATTAGTTGCGTCATTACCAGACCACTTCATTCCATTTCCTTTTGTTCCTAGTTTTCTGCCCCTATCCTAGCTTCTTCCAATAGGCAGTTGGTATTCCATATTTAATGAGCTTTTTCAGTTTTTAATTAGTTTGAGGCCCCCTCCTGATTGGGGACGATGCTTGTTCCATTCAGTCTGCTGAATTTTGTAAGTAATATTTCTTTGAAGTATTTTGCTCTGTTTGTATGTTGCGAATCAAAAGGATTCATAGTGGTTTAAAGCAAATCAGCTAAAAATACTATAGAATTAAAATACAGTGGCAAACATCATTGAAATCAAAACTGTACATTTATAGCACTAAGAAGGTGGAAAAAAAATAAGATAGGAAAAATAAAAAAAACAAAGCATTATACAGAACAGGTATCATACAGAAGCAAAATGAACAGACGAGTGACCTTAAATAATTATTGAGTTTCTTGACAAATTAAGAAATGATTGAACATCCTTTAAAGATATTAAGTCTGTAGCATTTATTCAATGACCCTATCCAAGACAGTGCACTAATAATTTTTGACAAAAGTTTGTCTTTTTTACAATGTTAAGACAAAAAGCTATATTGTAACATGCATCTCAGGGAAAAAGAGGAAACAGAATGAATGCTAAAATTATCAGGGTGAACTTCTTTACACAAGAAAGGGAAGTTAAAAAACTTTTATTTTTAAGGGATCAGCAAAACAATATTGAATGCATGCCTCAGCATTTCAGTACTACTTATAGAAGCAGTACTAGAAATACTAATTAAGAATAACATCCTCCTCTCTTCAACCCATAGAAAAGTATAATACTTCAGTAGCTCATGCTGTTCTATCTGTAAAAGGCTATTTGCAAGATCAAGTCAGTAATTAATATTTTTGGGAAACTACTTTCAGTACAGTCAATGCACTAAAGGTCTGTCTAATTAATGTAGTTGGACTAATAGAGAACAAACACAAGAATGCAAAAAATTATGCAAACAGCTCAGAAATAAGCAATGAATAAGAGGAATTATTTCTGCCTCAACGTTTCATTGTGTTCGAAAATAATTCTGTTCTAGCATATGTTCCAATCAGAGGTTGACTGCTAAATAAAACACACAGAACATCTGTTATAATTGCTATCTGTGTTTGCATACTTACAGTACTATTTAAGTAAAGTCTGCCGATACTCAGCAGACTCTACATCCTTTCAATTAAACTTTTATTTATTCTCACCCACAATCCTGATTACAGATATGTTAAAATCTGTTCCATGTATAGATAAAAGTTCCTCTTCTGTTTTCTGAGAGTCTACTGTCCATAGCAGCACTGGAACCCTAATCAGTTCTCTGCATTTCATCTTTAGGTTATACAGTTACAAGTGTTCTACACAAAGCAGATTATTGTTTGGGCCATTGGTCATATAGATGTGATATCTGATATATGTAAGAATGCTTTCTCCTTTCTCTCTATTGGTTTGGGATATCTTCCCAGAATATGTCAAATGATGAGAGCCCATATACCATATCCAACCCTGCCAATCACATCTTCATTGCTTAGTCTAAAAGCCAACATAGCTTTGTCAAAAACAGATCATGTCAGACAAATCTTACTGCATTCTTTGACCAAGTGACAAAATTAGTGGATCAAAGGAATGCTGTGGACATAATTTACTTGGACTTCAGTAAGGCATTTGATAAAGTAGATCACAACCTACTACTTGGTAAGATAGAAAAATGTGGGTTAGACGGCATCACCACCAGATGGATCCGTAGCTGGCTGATCAGCCGTTCTCAGCGTGTGGTCCTCAATGGAACTGCATCTACATGGAGGGGAGTGCGTAGTGGGGTGCCCCAGGGCTCTGTTCTGGGCCCAGTGCTCTTCAACATCTTCATCAACGGCTTGGACGAGGGGATAGATGGGAAACTCATCAAATTTGCAGACGACACCAAGCTGGCAGGAATAGCCAACACTCCAGAAGACAGGCTTAGGATACAGGAGAATCTGGGCAGACTTGAACACTGGGCGCTATCTAACAAAATGAAATTCAATGGTGAAAAAAGCAAGGTTCTACATTTAGGCAAGAAAAACCAAATGTACAGGTATAGTATAGGGAGTCCCTTGCTCAGTAGTAGTAACTGAGAGGGACCTCAGAGTCCTGGTGGACAATCACTTAAATATGAGCCAGCAGCGTGCTGCAGCTGCCAAAACCAACACAATGTTAGGCTACATTAACAGAGGGATAGAATCAAGGTCATGTGAAGTATTAATACCACTTTACAATGCCTTGGTAAGGCCACACTTGGAATACTGCATCCAGTTTTGGTCACCACGATGTAAAAAAGATGTTGAGACTCTAGAAAGAGAACAGAGAAGAGCAACAAAGATGATTAGGGGATTGGAGGCTAAAGCATATAAGGAACAGCTGCTGGAATTGGGTATGTCTAGTTTAATGAAGAGAAGGACGAGAGGGGACATGATAGCAATGTTCCAATATCTCAAGGGCTGCCACAAAGAAGAGGGAATCAAACTATTTTCCAGAGCGCCTGAAGGCAGGACAAGAAGCAACGGATGGGAACTAATTAAGGAGAGAAGCAACCTAGAACTAAGGAGAAACTTTCTGACAGAACAATTAACCAGCGGAACAACCTGCCTCCAGAAGCTGTGAATGCTCCAACACTGGAAGTTTTTAAGAAGAGACTGGACAGCCATTTGTCCGGAATGGTATAGGGTTTCCTGCCTGAGCAGGGGGTTGGACTAAATGACCCCCAAGGTCCCTTCCAACTTTTTTATTATTATTATTGTTGTTGTTGTTGTTGTCAAACACTGCAATTCTATATTGTCATACCATTTTCAAGGCCTGTCTGGGCAAAGGAATCAGAGATGTGTGTAGGTTTTCTTTTCATGTAGTACTCCATAGTCTGCAAGATGAAAGGAGACTAGAAGCCTATTATATTCCATGATATCACTCTGCATGTAGATTTGCATATCTGCAGTAGGATTGGAATGTGTACTAATACAATGTTGAAATAACAGCATTTTAACATTTTTGAGTGTCTGAATATCCAAGGAAACTTATAGAGCAGGCATGTCAAACTGCCGGCCCATGGGCCAGATGCGTTACACCGAAACCGTGCCCACCCCATTGCCAGCATTGGGGGAAAAGTCCCAATACGTCGTGCGACATCACGTGACATCGCGAGTTTGACATGTCTGTTATAGAGGAAGAATGGCATTTCACATAAGATATTTCTAATAAACATTCTTAAATAGATATTACTATTAATGTATTTTATGAGAAAAACTTGCTGTTTAATCTACTTTGTCCAGAAGAATCTTTATAAGTTGTAAAAAATAGTCATGTAAATGATTCCTTTCCTTATTTATCAGTATTCTTTTTAAATACTTATGTAATCAGATAACTATGGTAAATTGTTAAAATGTTCTTACATAAATTGATGTTCTGAGTTAGCAGAGATTATGCATTGTAGTAGTACAGTTATGTTAATTTATGGCAGCAAAAAATCAGGAATCATCTAACTGCACCTTTTCAACTAATACACCTTATTAAAAGGCATAATCTTTCATGAGTTAGTTTACTTCATCAGATACCTACTTTGCCCCACATCTACACCACAGCACTGTTACAGACCCATATGTAATCTGTATCCACATAACCAAGCTATCCTCACCTCCACCTCACTCCATTTTAAATCTTGTATCAATCCAGCCACTATTTGCATCTGATAAAATGAACTGCTCCCGAATGTTTATACAGATGATATTTGTTTAACAACCAATCCATCTAACTGTTCACACTTGCAACAGCACTGAAGGAGTGGTAGTTATGAACAGTCCTTGAACAATCATAGCAATCCTGCAGTCAGTCATATTATTGCGATTTTTGATCCTCGGTGTCCCATGGTCACATGTTCACCATTTGCAACCTTCCGTGTTATATTCCCACAGGCAAAGTCAATGGAGAAACCTTCAGGAAATCTGAACTCATGATCATGTAAGGTCCTCACTTAATGATCTGCATGGCTCTCACTTAATGATGATAACTAGGAACTGCCATCATTAAATGGGGCAATCACATGATATCATACTCTATGGTGTCACTTTATGATTACATGATGTAGTGATGGAAGTTACAGTCCAATTACTACCTGTACCTTTTAATAAAATCTGTTAATTGGAAAAGATGCTACGAGACTTCTACTGATTTCTAATTTTGTATTATAATCTTAATCATTATTATTTCTGATTAGAAACTGAAAACATGTAACTTTATCATATATAACTTTTTCACTTTTTAAAATATTTTATTAAAAAAGTAAACTGCATATATAGATTTTGCTGATAGAGAAAAAAGCTGCTTGCTTCCCAGCTACTTGATGAATGAGAAAATTAACATTACATTGTTTTTCTTTTCCTTTCTTCATAGATATATTGTGAATAAAAATGAAATCAGTGACTTCTTATGGTTTGCTTGTTGAGTGTTTTTGGTTTGCTTTGTTTTGTGGATCTGCTACCCATTTATTGGCTGATAGGTAAGTAATCTGAAATGGAAACTCTAATGACAATGGCATTCAATTTTACAAGTAGTCCTGAAAATATTTATCCAGTAACCCAACAGATCCCTAACACTTAACCTCCAAATAGTTTGCTCTCCTTTCCCGCTGACTTTTTCTAAAATGCATTTTGGGGATTCATCAATCTTCCATGTACTTTTGAGACATGGAAGAGGACATCTTCCTAATGGAAGTGGTTCTTATGACTAGGAATTAACTGGTTTACCCTTTCTAATACATTGCTCATGGGTTCTCCAGCAAGAGTATTTGCAATTGACTAATGGATTATTATTATTTGTTTTAATGCTATAGAACAAATATAATTATACTTTGTTTAGAAGTACAGTTAATTCCACCAAAAAAATATCAGCACAAAAGATCCCATAATTATTGTTTTATTAATAAGGTTCTTGTAGAATTGAAAGATGTGTTTATTGTGTTGTGTTATGTTTTTGTCCATCGTAAATGAAGTACTTCAGGCTTTTTTCAATATGAATATGACAACAAATGCTTCTGACATGGTCTGACAACATTAGTCTGTGAATATGCAACATAATTCATTGTATAGTTTTCTTAATCTCAGTTTTATTAACAAACTACAATAGGCTAATTCTTACAACATGAAAACAGTAAATATTGTTCATAAGCTGCTAGGGAGAGTTTACCTACAAGCAAAGCCAAAGGTAAATATATAATATAAAACTCATTATGGCTTAACACAGTGATGACGAACCTTTTAGAGGCTGAGTGCCCAATCTGCAACCCAAAACCCACTTATGCATCATCGAGTGCTGGGTGGGTGTGGCCCATTGGTGGGCGTGGCCACAGTGGTAACGGCACTGGGTGGGACTAAAAAATTCAATCAATTCCAACTTTGCAAGATCTTTCTTTTCCCCGCGAGAAGTTGAAATTGACTGATTGAACCTTTTTTTTTTTTTTTTGCACACGGCGGTGGAGGCCTAAAGCGAAAAGGTTTTATAAAACCCAGCTGAAGGCCTAGGACTGGGGCGACGGTACGCGTGCCCACAGAGAGGGCTCTGAGTGCCGCCTCTGGCACCCGTGTCATAGGTTCACCACCACTGGCTTAGCATGTTGAGTAAATTGAATTCTATTGATTCATATAGATTGAAATGCATCTTCACCTACATATATATGTATGTAGTTCTTGATTTACAACTGTTCCTTTAACAACTGTTCAAAGTTATGCCAGCACTGGAAAAATGACTTACATCCAGTTCTCACACTTACAACTGTCATAACATCCCTGTGGCATGTGATCAAAATTAGGCTACTTGGCAACTAGCATGTCAACAGCTGACAACAGATGCAGTGTCCTGGTGTCACATGATCATGATTTACAACATTCCCAGGGGACTTTTGACAAACAAAGTCAATGGGGTAAGCTGGATTCACTTTATAACCATGGAAATTCACACATGAACACAGCAAGAAAGTTTGTAAAAGTGGGCATAACTCACTTAATGACTGCATTGCTTTGCAACAAATTCCAGTCCTGATTGTGCTCATAAGTCAAAGATTATATGTAAGTCATCTCTTATATATTTGCAGCAGAGTAAGCAGTTATAATCAAAATGAACTTAAGCTTTGTTTAGTCATTGAACAGATATAACTACATTATTAGGAAGCAAAAGAAAAACAGTTGTTTTTCTTCCAGCTGCCAGTATCCAACTGCCTAGCAGTTTTTCAAGGGTGGGGCTGCTGCATGAGGGAAAATTGGGGGTTTAGTGAGAAATGTATGTTTAAGTTGCCTTGTGATAATGGGAGGGAAGGGATTTTCCAAGAGAGTAAACTTTGTCTGTGTTTTCTCTGAGCACAATTAGCTTCTCATAAGTAAAACATGTTATAGTACTTTATGTGATTTGGCTTTTAAAAGTCAGAGCCCCCATATTGTCTTGTACTCTGAGATGAATACAATTAAAATACTATTGCCAGAAAGAGTTTAGCAGTTTGGAGAGAAATTGTTTTTTCTCTTTTATGTTGCATCTCAGAGATTTGGGCAGGTTATAGAAGCAAAAAGAAACGGAGTACATCAGTATTCTGGGTTCAGGCAAAATCTATTATTTAAATAAGCCAGTATTTGTAAACCAAGTTGAAATATGACTTTAATTTGAAGTGTACTGCTAAACCCCACAGTTTGTAGTTAACTTCATAGTTTACAATTAAGCAAAAAAACAAAAAACAAAAAAACCAACCTTTACACACCCTGATAAAGCATTACGTGTGAACAATACCAAGAAATTTGGTATGCAGGGGTAGGGCAGTTTGTTACTAATGTAGTGTTATTATGCCTTTGTAATGTTAAACTTTTGTTTTTTTATTTTATGTTTCAGTATTCTTCATAAGTGGGAAAAATTATACTTAGTTCATCATTGGCCAGTGACTGTATGCATGGTAAGATCTTCTAAAATGGATGCAATCATGTTGCTATCTGTATGTGCATGCCTATATTGAAATATTTATTTCGCTGTATCCTGAAAAGGAATAACCAGTTTCAAAACAGATGGGAATTATTACTGAAATATGCATTTGGCCACACAATATTACATTTTATTAGTATAAAAATATTACCAGTATTGTGTCTACAGGAAGGGATCACATAATGTTAATAATAGCCACATTAATATTTTTATAGTATATCAGATTCTTGGGTGTTATACAAATCATAAAAACAAACAGATAATAAAATCTATCCCCAACTCGGTGAAATAAACCTCCTAAAAACACATAAAGCAAGAAAAGTAACAGCCCCCATCATCATTACTCTTCCAAAGCCTATCTTTTAGTGCCTCGTGGGAAAGCAGATTGTTCACAGATATAATCAAAGCAAAGCTAACAATAAATCCATACAACTCCTTTACTATGCTCCCATCCCAGAGTCAGCAGGAAATCATCCAGCTTAAATCTTGCTAACACCAGGAATGTCCTTACTGCAAACCCAGAAAGCTCCATACTGCACTGCTATTAATACAGATGTAACACACATGGTATTTTAAATGCCATGGATGAAATTCCGGGTCTGCAAATATCATTTACTATATGAAAGCTTCCTTAGTTAGTACACAAGAGCCAGTTTACTGTAGTGGTTAAGGCACCAGACTAGAAACTACTGGTAGGAGGCTGTGAGTTCTAGTCCCGCCTTAGGTACAAAGCGAGCTAGGTGACCTTGGACCAGTCACTTTCTTTCAACCCTAGGAAAAGTCAGTGGCAAACAACTTCTGAAATCTTGCCAAGAAAACTACAGTGCCAGGACTGAAAACTGATTTGAAGACACAAATGTGCACACATACAGTTTCTGTGTATTGCATTTTTCCCCTTTTCACTGCTGTCACAATGTTGTCCAATTAAATTCTTTTTATTTCTTATAATTTTGGATAAACCAATTGACTGTTTGATCTGTAGACCACTAAGGGACAGCAGAAATTACAGTTTTTGTATTTCAGTTACCATGTGGTGGTTTTCTGGATTTCCACTGGGTAGGAGATTTTTACGTCATCAGGTTACAGAGGCATAACAGCTGAGTCCTTTTGATTATGCTTTCAGTTGCATGTGCTAGGCCCAGGACAGACTCCTCCATTTCAGGGTTTTATAATAGCTTAAGTTCACCACTCAATCTATGTAGGAAAAGGAAAAAGTCTCACTTGCAACTAAATCCATAGTGCAGAATTGAGCACAGCCATTACTTGGAAGAAAATGGTCCTACAACAGACCTACCAGATAAACTGGAGCTGAACAGATTGCTACTGTTTATTGCATCACCTCATGTCACCTCCTTGGGTTATTTGGATGGAAGTTCTTGAGATGAGATTCAGGACTTAAGTCATCGTTTAGCTTATTCAGCTGTGTGTTAACAAGATATGGGTACTGCCCTGAAGACATGTCTACTAGAAATAATGGGGCATCTTGTGGAAGGTGTATGGGTGCAGACTAAATAGTTTCATTCAGTGAATGAATCTATTGTCTGTGCAGAGAGCCCCTTCATTTCTTGCTCATGGCTTTTGACATGAGCAGTCTAACAGTTTTGATATCCTACCGTGAAACAGAGCTCCTATTTATATTTTACTAGTGCAGTGGTTCTCAACCTGTGGGTCGGGACCCCATTTGGGGTCGAACGACCATTTCACGGGGGTCGCCAAACAACGCAGTCCGCCATTTTTTTCCCCCTTTTCCTTAGCTGTGCTACTCCCTTTTATTCTATTGGCTTTGGAAAGCCAATAGAATTAGACTCTATTCAAGAGAGTCTATTCTGCACCCGTTGAGCAGTCCTCAAGTTACAACCGGTTGAGTAGTCCTCGACTTACGACCGGTTGGGGGTCGCGGCCTTAAAAAGGTTGAGAACCACTGTACTAGTGGGTGAAATAAAAAACAAGGGCTGTTAAAAACTTCTTGTTTTCTTTCTATCAGAAAAGGAGAAGCATATACTAAGCATATTTCCCCATGTACAGGGGAAATCCTGTCGTCTTAGATTAGGAAGTTAAGATTCAGTCCTCTTGTGCTTCTTTAGCTCTCGCTATAAGAGTTGAAGCAATTTAAAAAATATAAGTGAATTTCAAGTGAGCAGAAAATACAGTTTGGGGATTGCTATTATTAAGAGCTGAAATACTTATTGAGTATTTCAATGGGGAATTTGCCAGGATCTCCATTATAAAGATACATATACCAACAAGCCTAATACAAAGCTGGAATAAAAGTAGAGTCTTCATATTCTTTTGGAATAGAACTCCTGCTGTACATTTGCCTTGATATATTGTTCAGCGCTGATAGACATTGACACCCCAAACACCTACAAGGTACCACGGAACAATATTGTTTACTTTGTGGAAAAGCCAAGCTGATATCTCCATTCACTGGCTATTGTGAGCAAATCTTTTCCATTAGACTTTTTGTGAACCTAAATGCCATTGCTTCATAGCTGCTTCTCTGAACTGTACTGTTGATCAGAAATACTTGGAAATAACATGAAAATTTTCTGCTTTTAAGTGTCTCGGATACTATACTTAAGGACTGAGCTCTTTAAAGCAGTGCATTTTTCCACTTATTTCTACTGCAAAATTGGCTGAATTCCTGCTCTTCTCTTGTAACACATGCTATTGGCTGTAAATGGATTTGAGTTTTTAATGAAGAGTATTCTGCTAGTTCAATGAAATATTAGTGAATACAAAAAATGGCAAGCATTTTATGACTCATATTTAAGGTAGCCTAACAAAATGCTTTGGAAAAAAAACAGTTGTGATAGGGTTTACTACTTTACGCTTTACATTTTCTTTTTGTTATATGAAAAATTGCCTGCATAGGATTTTGTTAAGCAATTACTATTTTTTATAGCGATCTACAATTCTAACATGGGAGTGTTGCCTTACCTAAAGTCAGCTAACAGAACTGATTACTTTTAAGAAAGTAGCTTTTATTTAAATATTGCCATATTCTGAACAACTTAAATCATAATGCAAGAGAAGACTTTTGGTTGTTAGATGCTGCACTTAATGCTCTGAAACACAGGGGTTTCAATGGGTGGAGAGATGGAGTTGATGATGCTGAGTAAGTGGAGCCACATTCTGGAATATAGCGGGAGGTCAGGATTTTCTCTTGGGGGAGTTAAAAATTATAGTTTAGACATTATAGTTTCCATATACCTCTTAATCTAGAGGAGATTTTAATCTTCGCCACCTAAATAGTTTGGACCTATATATTCTCCATTTCTGGATTTCAATTAATTTGTCTTATGTGATAGTCTTCCACTAAGTCAACTACAGTCATTTTTTAAAATAGGAAAGCATTTATACCCAGGAAAGAACTTTTTAAAAGAAATTTAATAATTTCATAGGAAAGGTACAATTTCAAAGCATTTAATACTGTATCTATACGATATAGCTGAAAGCATAGCTAGCATTTAATACTAGCATAAAATAAAAAGCAGAACTAATAATTACCTTTCCAATAATATAAACAAAATTGACAACTTCAAAAGAATGTGAAAGTATTCAGAGACATGCACCCGCCCAATTCCAACCTTCATCCAGAACAAACATGACAAGGGTGGTTAATTGTCATTTGGTCACAGATGTCATCTTACAGGGGATGGTGACCATTATAGTGAATGTGGTCAGAAAAAGTTTGTGAGGCTAAAAGGGGAATGAGAGAAAAAAGATGAAGTGCAAATTCATTTTTAATATAAGGAATAAGTAGAATATTTTACTTCTCTTAGTAGTAAGCTACATGCTTCTAAAAGGTGCTAAAGAAAGAAATAAAAACCTTGAGAAATAGGGAGCATATCGCAATAGCACAGTGTTGTTTGCTTAAAACCATATATAGCTGGTTTCAAGCATTAATGGCTTATTAACCCATTTTGTCATTAAATGGAGCACTTAATATGACAATGTATTAATTCAAAAGGTAAACATTTAAGATAAATTATTAATAAATTTTAGATTAAACATAATTCAGATTACTCTGATTTTTATCAACTGTTTTTCAAATGCTAAGTATTCTGAAACGGCTATTTTTCAATCAGTTTACCAGTATTTTGCTTTTTATGAAAATGGGACCAACCCTGTGGAGTTTCCGTTATCAGCATGTTTTGATGAAAGCTTGCTAATAGTATCTCCATATTTTCTTTCTGGCTTGGCATTATAGCACAGCAGATTGCAGGTGTAGAACCAAATGCTTCAACACTCAATCTCCATACACATTCAATGTAACATTCCAGAAAGAGTAGTAGTTGGAGAAATTACATCAAGCTGCTAATTGTATTGTAGGTTATTTCTCCCAGTTACAATATGGCCCATGAAAAATGAGATGAGTACTGTTTATCAGCTCCAGCTATTAGGCCATTTGCATCCATTTATAGGAAGGTATTATCTAAAAGCGATGGTGCACATGCTTATATCTTCTAAGTTCAACGTATGCAAGTGACGACACTTTCATAGACAACTCACAAGGATTGTTCATCAAGGCATCTCAAAGAAACAACAGACTTTATTCTATTGGCTGCCAGTTTGTTTCAGGACAATTTCATGTTAGGGCTATGTAGTATTTCATAAATAATTTGGATAAATAATATTTATCCACAAAGTCCTGCACAGCTTAAATCCCAGTTATCTAAGAGATAGGGAATTTAATATATGTGGGATATCTCCTTGGTGACTGCACATTTCAGTGTTTCACTGAAGTTTATTAAGAGTTTTTAAAATTAATAAGTAAAAAGGACTGCTGTGTTCCAAAATAAAACATTATTCTTCCACATCATTTTTATTTGAGACTGTTGAACTACATCAAGGCTCTGTAGGTGTTGTTGTAGATAAAAAATATAGCTATCATGATGGATAAGAACATTCCAGGAAGAAACTGCTCTTCACAGATTTTTCTAATCCATCAGGAATCTATTAGCTTAAATTACTTTCTGCTTTTTCTTCTGGGCAATGTGGCAATATTTTGGAATCCTCAGCTCAGTGTTGCCCACCATCGTATTTATCTTGTGAATAGGAAGCTCTGCTGTATTGTGCAGATATTGTGAGGATGTCTGTCAGCCCAACTGGATATTGATGATTTCTGCTTTTTCCCTTAAAACACATTCTAGGGTTGTTCAAAAATTTGATTCCAAGTCTAAATCAAAACAAATCAATTAAATTCATGCTGAATCATTAAATCAGATGCCGCAATCAAATCCGAGACAAATTCAAACAACAATCAGAATTAATAATTTGAATCACAGCTGAATCAGACCCTATTTTTCCCATTCTGCATAAAAATGGTTTTCTTTTAATAACCCAATAGATTTATTTTCTCTAGATGAATGAAAATGAATGCAAAGATCCACCAATGTACTGGACAATCCATGGGCTCTGGTAAGATATAAATTTAGGAGGAAAAAGAAATCTTGCTAGTTTTAAGAGGTTGGTTCCTTCTAAGCTCATAGTATCTTATATTTGAAATATTCTGGTCTGATACCCATAGAAGGAGAAAGCTTTTATTATATGATAAATGATTTTTTATAAATGAGTTATTATAAATGATCTCCTGTGGTAGTCCATGAATCAAAATACTTATATGAAAATAACTGAATTTCTAGGTGTATGGTAGCTAAAGAATTTCCTTCTATTCACATAGTATTAGTCAATTTCTTACATGATCAGCAAATATTAGCGTTTGAAATATTCACATCCTATCATTAAATGATCAAATTTAATTTTAAATTTAAATGATCAAATTAATTTTAAATTTGATCATTTAAATTTAAATGATCAAATCAATTTTAACTGTGCACAATCAGTTTCATTTTTTAAAAAAAATATTTGTCTTACATTTCTTTATTTCACTGAACACGTCCTTTAAAACAAATCTCCTTATGTGCCAGGATTTTTTAACATGAAACAAGAATCAATAAATGTTTATAAATTAATATACAGTATTCTCTCAAATTTTAGCATACATTGTGGAACAATTTTCACTAATTTTGTTTATAAAAATAGATTATTCACCTTGTTAATCTGTAGGCTTACAGCCCTTTTTGAATGATTAAAATGACTTTTTAAAATACAATCTTTTCAGTTTAGTGCAGTGGTTATAGGACCAGGTTAGAAACCGGGAGACTGAAAGTTCTAGTCCTATCTTAGGAACACTATTCCCTCTCATCTCTGGGAAGCAGACAAGGGCAAACCACTTCCAAAAACGTTACCAGAAAAAGAGGGGCTTGTCCAGGCAGTTGCCAGGAGTCAACACTGACTCAGAGGTAGAACATAAACAGGTAAGTTTCACTTAACAATGGTAATTGGGACCAGAATTGCCAACACTAAGCAATGTGCTGATAAAATGTGATGTTGTCAGGCATGAAAGACCAGGTCCACATTTGAAGGTTTAGTTAAGCTGATTTGCAGGTAGTCCTTGACTTACGACACAACTGAGCTCAAAATTTCTATTGTTAAGTGAGACAGTTGTTAAGTGAGTTTTGGCCCATTTTACGACCTTTCTTGCCACAGTTGTTAAATGAATCACTGCAGTTGTTAAGTTAGTAACACGGTTAAGTGAATTTGGCTTCCCCATTGACTTTGCTTGTCAGAAACATCACAAAAGAGAAGCACATGACCCTGGCACACTGCAACCGTCATGAGTCAAATTGCCAAGCATCTGAATTTTGATCACGTGACCATAGGGATGCTGCAACACTAGTAAGTGAAAAATGGTCCTAAGTCACTTTGTAACTTTGAACAGTCACTAAATGAACTGGTAAGTCGAGGACTACCGGTATTGCCTAAAGCTTATGCGTAGGAATCTTCTCAACTAACAGAGTTATATAAAGGCCAATGGCAGTCAAGGGGCTTGGACTTAGTTCACTTGTGACTATGTAAGAATTCTAAGGCTGATCTCTCTTTTAATTCTGCTCCTAGGTTCTGCCATTCCTTGCCCTTCAGATGTCACATGAGTGCATTGCTTAGCGACCGCAATTCTAGAAGTCTCTATGGTTGTCAGCAAATGAGGATCACAGGTCATTAAACACAGACCTTATGGGAGACCAGGATTTGCAACTTCCTGCCTTCTTCCAACAACAAAAGTCAGTGGGGAAGCTGGCAGGAATTTGCAACTATTGGTCACAACAAACCTTTAGTTAGGCATGGCACAAGCCTTTCCTTACACTGCAATGTGGTACAAGTGTGGAAAGCTGGAGGGGGCGTGGTGTGGCCCAAATGTGCCAAAGCCTGGGACACGTGGTGTGATTGTGGCAAGGTGCAACTTAAGTGCAACAAGGCTGGAGAGGTTCAGCATGAGCACAGCAAGGCAAGGATTAACTGTACATATAGACTGTATTGAAGATAATGTAGTTTTTTTCTTTATTATGAACAAAAATAGTCTGGTTGTAATTGCTTTTCCAAGAGTTTGCTTAGGGTTGAGTAACTAATAGATCAGAACTGCCTTTTGATCTCCTGAAGGATTGATTTGGGCTTCTAAAATGTTTCCCAAGAAAGGAAGTTCTGGAATCACTAATCATACATCTCTATGCAAAATTGCCATGATATTACATTATATAACTTTTTTTCATTTTCTTAATTTTTTTTAACATTTATAATATCAAATAAAGCTGTACATGCTATATTATCTGTTCTTAACTCTCCTCAAGACGATCCTGTGATGTCTCCCATTTTACAAGATATATGTTAGAGAAGGAGAGTGCATTCCACTACTATTCAGAACAGTTGGTTTTCATCCTTTGTACTCTTTTGCTCTGCTTCTTCCCCAGGCCTGATAAAGCTGCAGAATGTAATAGAAGCTGGCACTTCAATATATCTGAGCTTAAGGTATGAATCAAATAAATTATATGTACTGCATACTTGAAGAAAAACTATAATAATAATTAATGCAAGAATTTGACTGGACTCAAGAGAAGCTTTAGGATATTCTGCCAAAGCAGTATTATTTACTAATACACCTCAATCAGTGAACATTTATTACCAAACCAGACGCTAGAGAAAGAGGATGGTAGCTTTCGTTCTTGAGTCCCTTTCTAAATAATTTGCAGAGTTGCCTATAAATTACAATATTATCATTTTCACATGTTTTCTAAAGCTGTTAGGTGAAGTATTTTATAGATACAAGGATATTTTATACAGCCAATTGGGTGTAGTGATTAAAGTGCTGGTCTAAAAACCAGAAGATTGTGAGTTCTGCCTTATACATGAAAGGGGGGCAGTCACTCTCTCTCATTCCAACTCACCTCACAGGGTTATGTTCACCATAATAATAAAGGGATCAACATCTAATAAAATAAAATAAATAGTGAGGAAATCTAGGTGGAGTTTGCATCATATCCTTGCTTTTTAATTATATAGGATTTTTTTATTATTATTGCTAGGATTTCATGGAAGACATGAAAGAATATTGGCCAGATATACTACATGTAAACCATACTCATTTCTGGTGAGTTGTGTCACATTTAACCCTATTGACAGCTTTGCAAAAATGCTTAATTTTAGTTGTCTTTCTAAATGAAACACCCTAGGTAACCACAGGATATGCAGATAATATAACAACAAGATATGCAGATAATATAAACTATGGATTTCTGTCAATTATTTTGTTTCAGCATTAATGCTTTCTTAAATAATATAATGTATTATATTTTATTAAATAATATACTATATTTAGGCATATAGTATAGATGGTATTTTTGTCCCCCACAAGAGTTCAAGAGTAGAGTTCAGTTTTAATGTTTTCAGTCAAAATAATCTTTAAGAACATTCCATTAATTGTTTTTGGCCTAATTATGGCCAATTACAGAGGTCCCCAATCTTTTGAGTACCAGGGACCGGTTCCGTGGAGAGAGGTTTTTCTGTGGACCAGAGGGGGCATGGTTTCATGTACTGCCTGCATCCCGCAGATGGGGCTTTGCTTGTTTCCGCGGACCAGTTTCTGGCATGCCGTGGCCCGGTGCCAGTCTACGGACCGGGGATTGGTGACCCCTGTCCGATTACATTATCTTGTAAAGTATCCAGTGTATTGATTATTAAAAGAAATCCATTAAGCTTGTATTATGTACAATAGACTATACTGTGAGTACTTTGCTTCAATTCCATAAAACTACTTTGAACATGAAGAATAGTATCTTGGCACATTAACATAGTTGTATTGTTATCTAGGATTATAAGCTGTCTGTTGCCGCTACTGCACAATTTCAGAAAAAGATACAACTGCTTTCATATGTTTCAGAGCTAGGTGCTATGCTCTTCAAAGCATCTTTTTGGAATTAAATCTGAAGCATTTGAGAGCTCTAGTATGTAATATCCATTGATTCCGAGTAAAGAAAGGTTAAAAGCTTCCCCAAGTCAGACTTGATTTTAGGAGACTAATGAACCTATCCATGTAAGATGTCTTCTATAACTACAGTTTTGACTGTGCTTATTTTTAAAAGATGAACAGATATACAGTATTGTACTAATAGCTGTAATTTTAAGCACTTGATGATCTTCAATGAAGAAGTAATTTGACTGCATTACTATTCAGATCCTTAACCCCAATTTGCTGCATCATTTTGAGTGCCTTTAGCTTGTTTAAAATAGAAGCATTACAATCTAGGCATTAAAGGAAAATGAGTTAGTTACTTTATTATATTCTCCCTACTATACAAAAATCTCTCCAGACTGCTTGCCTTTTCATGGGAACAGATAAATAAGGTACTATGGAGCTTAAAGTGGGGCGGGGGAAGAAAGCAAGGCTAATCCCCCATTTGAGACTCCTCTCTGCCTGGCTAGGTGTTTCCCAACAATATATAGACTATTAGTATGTAACTCTTTAAAGAGCCACAACTTTCCCTGAATCACAGTTACTATAGAGAACATCACAGAATCCCTGGAGCATGTGTTTTGTAGAACACAGGGGTATAAATGTAACACCTATTTCCAGTTTGCTAAAGCTGCTTTAAGCACTGTAAACAGGAACTACAAGTGTAATGGAGCCTGCCCATTCCACTCATAACTTGAAAACTCACGGGAATCTCATACCTCGAATGAGATCATTCCCATGCTCGTTAAGATGTACATGGCTCGTTAGGTAAACATGAGGTATCTCAGAGTGAGGAAGGCCATGGCGGGCTTAGTGAAGGAACAGGGTCCTAAGGCCTCTCTGACCCACTAAGATACCTCATGCTTTCCCCTCCCTTTCTGCTGCGCCAGACTCACCTTAAAAAGATCTGTCTCCTCTCTGCCATGGTTCCTACTGCCACCCGGATCTGAGGCTGGGGGACACTTCCGTGGACCTCCAGTGGTCCGATCCGGGCACCGGAGGCCTTCTCCAGGCTGCTGCCACCCAAATCTGAGGCCAGATGACATGCAGCCCTCTGGTGGCCCGTTTCTGAATGACAACAGCCTGGAAAAGGCCTCCAGCTCCTGGATCTTGCGTGATCTTGCATTACTTTAGGCCTCCATTCTGTGTGAATGCCTAGAATAGCCAAGAAAACAAAAGATCTTGATCTTCGCAGGGTGAGTTTTGAAGACCTGGTGCCTAGGGAGACCCAGGCCGGGGGTGGGGAGGGAGGGAATAACCAGTTGCTCGTAAGGGCAAATGACTGCCATGGTGCTGCAATATTCATAATTTTGAGACTTGCTCATAAGCACTAGGGGGCGCTTATCGCATAACTTCGAATGAGCGTTAAGGGAACGCTTGTAACTCAGGGATTACCTGTATATTCATATTCCTCTAAACCGCAAAGATCATTTTCCAAATTATTTCCGAAATACTACACAGCCTTAACATGAAATAATAATTAAGCTAAGATTTTTTTGTGAAATGGCTGTTTATTTATTAACTTCACTTATATAGCTGCATATATTGCAATTGCAACTAAGTAATTATGTAAATATTACTTGTTTATGGAACATGCACACTTCCTTAGTTTGATTAGATTCTAAGCAGTTTACAAGGAACCAACCACATTGCAGCAGTGTGGCCCATATGCAGTTCAAATGCAATTCCACATTGGGAACATGGCAGTAACCACAATACTATAAAGCAGAAATATATGAATACAGCATTAAAACTGAGGAATGAGGAATGAAAAATGCAGACTATATTATAAGATGCAATATATTTCCGTTAAGTCTGCCTTATGAATTCATCCCACAAGGAAAAAAATGACTGCTTTAAGAGTTGAACATATAAACTGTTTTATTTTCTGTTTTATACTAGAACTGCCTCTATTTTTCTAATTTGTAACCTTGATGGAAGTAAAGTTTCAGAACTGACAATATTCAGTGAAAAAAAGTATTCAGCAATTAACCTTTGTTATTCTGTGACTCCGTAAGTTGGTAGCAACATCCTTGATATGCAACAAAATGAATATTTGTAGGTACAAGGACAAGATTATTTTCTTTTCATTTGACAAAATAAAAACAAAGATAGCTTTTCTTTACACTGTGTGGTTTCCATAGTTTCTAGTTCCACATGAAACATGATTGCAGTATGTTTTTTAAGTGCTAGGTTTTCTTGCTTTTGAAAATCAATTCATGACTCCAAACTATTGCAGGTGTCTTAACCATCACACCTTCACTTCTCTTGTCATTTAATTTAAATTATTCATTAAAAGAAATCCCTTTCTCAGTAGAAAAAGAACTTCTACCCATGAGACTACCCAAGTATATATAAATACTTCATATATAATAAGGAGATAATAATTATATATATAATTGTCCCAGGAGTTTGTGAAATACACATTGTACCCAGTGGTGGGATTCAAATATGTGAACAACCAGTTCTCTGTGTGGATGCCGCTTCCGGAAGTCCATTTTGGGCCTGGGCAACAAAAAATTAGCTACCGGTTCTGCTGAACTGGTGCGAACTGGCTTAATTCCACCACTGATGGTACCATTTATAGCAGACATGTCAAACCCGTGACGTCACATGATGTCGTGCAACGTATCGGGCCGGTTTTGCCATTGTCGGCAATGGGGTGGGCGTGGCTTCCATGTGACATGTTTGGCACATGGGCCGGCAGTTTGACACCCCTGATTTATAGTGTCCCCAAGGAATCATAGTTTTGTGTTCTGCCCTGAGTTCATTGGAGTTGGGCAGTCAATAAATTTAAATAAATAAGAAAACGATCTATAGAAATTGTTATAGTTGCAAAACATGTATGCATTATCATGCAGAAATGTAAGGATAGTATCTAACGTTAGATCTATTTTATCTAATAGTATCTCTTAGGAAGAACAGTTACTAAATCTAACTTTTATGTCTAAGTTTCTAGATTTTGCAGTGGGCAACGTGGTAGACTGGACTCACAAGTGAGATTTTCTTCTCAAATAAATATTAGAAGATTACAGAATTTTGGTACAGCTTTCCAAATACATTGGTGCTTGAAGATATTACTTAATTTTTTTACCTTTTTTCTTTACATAGGAAACATGAATGGGAAAAACATGGGACATGTGCAGCTGAATTAGAGGTTCTTAACTCACAAAAAAAATATTTTCAGAAGGCACTGGAACTCTACAGAAAAACTGACCTTAACAGGTGGGGAAAATTATTTTCTCAGAGTCTCTGCTACTCTTAACTTCATGTAAGACTCTCTGATAACAAACATGCATATTTCATTGGCTGCGATGGAATGTCTAACAGGCTCTGGGGGCATAATGAGAGAGTACAGTTGTTACAGGAGGAAGCAGGGCTATTACAAATTTGGGGAGGGGGAAACATGAGAAAGAGACCCAGAATAACTCCATATGCTACATGTAAGTTGAGATAGAGAATTCTTTAGGCAGCTTTTCCAAATTCTGTTATCCTATCATACCAGAATTACAAATCTTTACAGAAATAAAAGTAGTTCTTCCTGAATTTGCCAGTTATGGAGGGACATAATTAACAGACATAATGCTTCCTTAGAAGTTCAAAAATGTTTGTTGGAGAGAGTTGCTGTTGCATAACCAGGGTTTTTTTTGTAAAAAAAAAAAAAAAAAAAAGTACTAGAACTCACACATGTCATACAACCCGCTTTGTCTACCCTACAAGGTTCCATCCAAAAAAGGTGCCGGAACTCTGTTCTGGGCGTTCTATGACAAAAAAGCCCTGTGCATAACAAAAACATTATAGCATCCCTTAGTCTTGAATCTATTGGTGTTGCTGAGATCTCTCTCTCAGTCTCAGTGTTGGATGGAAGATTCCAACTCTAGGAATTATACTACACCATGTGTTTGTGTTCTCTTTAATGTAAATTTAAACTTCAAGCATCCATGAAGTTTAGAACTAGGAAAGGATAAAAAAAGGCATCACTAAGTGCCAGTCCAAGACAATTGTGGCTAAAAGCATTTGTTCTATATGTGATTATCAAATATAAATATTAAATGAACATGAGAAATTTAGATACTGTTGATCAATAAATGAAATGCAATTCCTCAAATTAGTCATAAAAATCAAACAAGAAATCCTTATATCTATGCACATATTCTTGAGACAGATAAGAAGATGAGGAACACAGCACTTTGGAAAAATAGTCTCAGTTGATACAATTTGAAATATTTTGTAAATACTCAGTTCTTGTAGGTTACTAGGTATTCTTTTTCAATTTCATCTCTGGCAGGACACCGTAAAATATGCACAATTATTTTACTAATGCTAACATTTGGTCAAACTACGTAAGCTAGAAGCTTTATCTAGAATTCTGTCTGTCATAAAACATTTTCCTAATGAAGAATTAGTAAGAGAGCTTTCAAGGATCCTAGCATTCCCTGAAACATACAGCAGGAATTTTAAATCTGTTTTTAGAAAATTGATAAAATTGATGTCATATAATATTTATCAGTGCACAATGTATAAGTATCCTAAAATGAGTCAATTACTTTGTAAACATTGTAAGGCTTCACTTATTCTATGGATTATCAATCCAGCTTTACTACACCCAATATTCCAGTTATATACAATAGGTCTTATAACAATTTAAAGAGAAAATGAGCAACAAAAATGTAATACTAAATACAATTTTAGATATACTATGTAGCTGAAAAACACTGGACTTCTTGAAGTTTTATGTATCTTTTGTGTCTAATTTTTTACATGTGGGAAAATAATGATGAATGACTATCTATAGTGTAATTGTATGTAGTGAATTCTGTCTTTTTAATGCTAGTTCTTTCTCTTTCAGTTTTCTCTTGAAAGTTGGGATAAAGCCAGGCTCTACCTACTATCAGGTGAGAGAAAAGCTCACTTGGCATTGCATTCTACAAAACTGTAGCCTTTAATTGTTGTTGTTGTTGTTATATAATACTTAGTGGTGAGTAAAATCTAATTAAGTCTTTCCACTGAAGAAGTAATTCCATTAGAACAGGGATATCAAACACGCAACGTCACGTGACGTGTCACGACGTATTGTGACTTTTTTTCCATTGCCGGCAATGGGGTGGGCGCAGTTTCGGCATGATGCATCTGGCCCACGGGCCGGCAGTTTGACACCCCTGCATTAGAAGAACAAACGTATCTAATCAAGATTCATTTCAGGGAATTTAAGGGTTTTCCAAAGCAAACTTTGGGAAGAAGGATGAAAAGAGACAATTCTTTTACAAATGCAGACTTTCATCTCATAACTTGTGTGTTTCTATTTTTCTTATTTTCATACAGAGTTTTCTTAAGTCTAAACTATGAAAACACATCTTTAATTAAACAGATGCTTCATTCTTTTTATGTTATTTATTTCATGTTTAAATCTTCAGCTGACAGCCGTCAAAGAAGCTCTTGAAAGCTTTTACAATGTAATGCCAAAGATTCAGTGTATTCCTCCTGAAGAGGTACATATTTCTCTTAATGACTTTCTAGTTAATGTTTAATCATTCTTTTCTAAAAACATTGTTTTTAATATTTGGAAGATTGAAAATTAAATATATCTAGTTATTTAATCATTCTTTCAAATGCATATTCAATACAGATTCATCAGCCTGCCCTCGACAATGATGAAAATCTCCTTTCCTTTCCTTTCCTTTCCTTTCCTTTCCTTGTTTTCATATGGTTTAGGTTTATGGAAATATATGGATGAAATCTTTCCTTTTCAAGTGGACCTTTGTATGATTATATTGCAGATCAGTTGGTTTAAAAAAACCTTTAGGTAATCCAGAAAGTATGAGGTCTTTTTTGGACTTTACCCAGTGACATTTTTGGCTACTTTGTTTACCTATTTCATTGATGAGGTGGCCAGCCAGTGCTAGTTGAAAAACTGATTGTCATTTCTCATTGATGGTATATGAGCTGTGGTGGTGCAGTGATTAGAATGCAGTACTGCAGGTTACCTTCTGCTGACTGCCGGCTGCCAGCAATTCAGCAGTTCAAGTCTCACTGGCTCAAGGTTGACTCAGCTTTCCATCCTTCTGAGGTCGGTAAAATGAGAACCCAGATTGTTGGGGGCAATATGCTGACCCTGTAAACCGCGTAGAGAGGGCTGTAAAGCATTGTGAAGCGGTATATAAGTCTAGGTGCTATTGCTATATTTGATGAAGGGGCACTACTTGAGAAAACATTTTCTAGAGTTCTACCTAAGTAGAAAATGCACAGCCTTTTGCATCTGTTGACTGAAGCTATTATTTTTTATGATATCTATTTTAAGTGTATGGATTTTAAAATATTTCCAAGGAACAGCTTCATTTTGAATATTTTTAATGCCATTTAACAGCAATAAAATATAATCTATGAAATCAATATGCATTTTCAAGTACAGCTTATTTCTGTACAAGGTTATTGACTTCAAACTGTGCTCATTTTTTTCCATTGCTGGAAGTACTGCTTTGAGCAAAATAGTTCATAAAGTTTACCGCCGTATATCAATATAAGCTTAATTTATCCCTTGGCCATCTAATTTCTGTTCTGGAAAAAAAATCTTGCTCAGTATTATTCCAAGTAGTAGATATTAAGTTTATTGTGTTGTTTGGTAACTATAAATGTAGTATAACATGCAGATGCAACTGTTGGCTTCTGAAGATTAAATTTATTCTGCTGAACTGTCGGTCATTGAGATATCAATAATTCCTTTATAAACTTTCCTATACTACTTTTTCTATAGTGTTGTTTTATTTTTCTTCTGCAGGGACGGCTACAAGTAATAGGCCAGATTAAATTCTGCTTTACCAAGGAGTTTACTCTGAGAAATTGTACAGAGGAACAATCTGGTTTATCTTCTGCATTTGAAGATGACTTTTTCAGAACAGAGGATCTGTCCGTTTGTAATGATACTTTGACTTACTATCCTTCACATATGAAAAGTTACAAACATTTTGTTGCAAATGTTGTTGAAATTTAGGAAAGTTGAACTTTTTAAAGTTTTGGCGGGGAACAATTATGCATTGGATTTATACAGCAACGCCATCTGTGAAGCTAGTATTAAGGGCTTTCTTTGTGTTTTGATTGGTGACTGCTTGTTTCGTTAAAATTGCTGTCCATATATAATGTACTTTTTCTTCAATAAAATTGGCTTATTTTTCATTTTTTCTCAAATTTATTAGGTGTTATTTTTAAATCAATATCAGTTGCAAAATTATTGCAATCTGTTAGTGATCTGCAATGTTCGTGACAAAATTTATTTAGCTACCTAAAAAAAACCTCGGCATATATTTGTATCAAATACAAGACTGTAGCAATTCATCAAGAAAAAGTCAACTAGAGCAGTAGATAGCCATCCTTAGGCAGCCTTATATTATATATTTTAAAAGCCCCAAACAAATGGTAAAGCATATAATTGTCTGGTTTGGTACAGCAACCAAACAGGACAGTTAGGACTGCAGAAAAAACAATTGCAACCAGCCTGCCTTCCATTGAAGACCTGTATCCTGCAAGAGCCAGAAAGATGGCTGAGAAAATATCTACAAACCCTTCACATCCTGGACATAAACTGCTTCAACTCCTCCCCTCAGGATGCTGCTATAAAGCCTTGCATGCCAAAACAACTAGAAACCAAGACAATTTTTTCCCTTGTGCCACCACTCTGCTGAAGGAATACCTTATTACAATACTGTCTTATGTTTAAGGATATTTACCCATGTAGTATGGCTATATTACTATTATGCTTCTCGTCTTTTCTACTACCTTCTCCTGTTGGTATCTTATGATTATATTACTTTCTTGTTTGTATGTACATTGAGAGCTTATGCACCAGAGACAAAATCCTTATACGTTCAATCACACTTGGCCAATCAAGTGTTCTCTTCTCTTCTATTTCTATTATTTCTATTCAAATTCAACATCAAAGTAACTGCTATGTTATAATGAATATGTGAGAGTAAAATACTCTAGAAAGAACAGGTGGTGAAACCTTATCCTTCCATTTTTTTTTCTAGAAGTACCTTTCCTAAAAATTACTCATGATTATATATCATTAAGAAATATTATTCATTGATGCAATGTGATTCAGGCTTTATATTTTACTATTGAGTTGATAATTAATCAGCCACATACTATTAAATTTTCTTCCTATTCATATCAAATTATTTTGCATTACATAATTGAGCCCAAGAGGGTGTCATTTTCCAGAGAGAAAAAAATGGACTTTGTAGCAATAATTTTCTTAAATATCAAGCTTCCCTGAAATTGAAAAGTTTTAAAGTAGACCCATTTATCTCTCAGTTTGATATGACATTCTTGGGGGAGAGCTGATTCCTGGTTTTATCCAATCTGACTGATCAATAAAACAAATTGATAGAAGTTTATTATTTAGAATTACAGGTAGACCTTGACTTATAACCATTTGTTTAGCTACCGTTCAAAATTACAATGGCATTGAAAAAAAGTATTTTATGACCAATCTTTGCACTTACAACCATTGCAGCATCCCCACAATCATGGGATCAAAATTTGGACATTAGGCAACTGTCATATATTTACGATGGTTTCAGTGTCCCAGGTCACGTGATTACCATTTGCAACTTTCTCAGCTGGCTTCCAACATGTGAAGTTAACAACTACAGTGGTTCACTTAACAACTATGGCAAAAAAAGTCATAAAATCAAACACATCTCACTTAATCACCTTGCTTAGCAAGAGAAATTCTGGCCCAAATTGTGATCACAAGTCAAAAACTACTGTTTTTATCATATCGTATCTTATTATTCTTTGGAGGAATCCAGGAGGAAATATAAAATCTCACTTTACATTTAATCAACATATCAGTTTAGTACGGTAGATTAGTATAAGAGATCATTAAAACAGTGGAATTCCTATGTATAATCAAAATAAGAAAAATTACTCTCAGAAAAATGGGTAAATGGTCCTCAGAATAAAATGTATGTAAAGTATTCTAATAATAACAAATAGATATAATTCAGAGCCTAAGATAATGACTACATTCTTTACGCTTTTTCTTCTCATCATCCTAAATTAAAAATATTTGGCCATTTCTTGTAAGTCTTGGGAATTATCAAATCTGTGCTGACTTAATGATCCTCTTTAGCCTGAGAAGTACTGGTTCCTAACTTGCTAACTTCATGCACATTCATCTGCTCTCTTCCAAAAATATGTGTAATTTCAAAAATAGATATCATGTTTTAATTTGTTGTAATATTGCACAGTAATTTTACTTACCTTGTAGGAATGGAAAGATTTCTTTTAGCTACTACTATATTTAGAAAATTGCAAATGAAACAGTCTTAATATCAATATGCTTTTAAAGTTGATTTTGTGCAGTGGTAAAGAGCGTATTTAAGCACACAATATTCACTACATAAATGGGATTCAGTTATGACTAGCATAACTGAATAAACATATATCAAGATTTATCTACGGATTTGTACCAGCTTATTTTTTTTAGGATTCCTGTCTGGTCTAGTAATCACCTATCCCTATGATTAGTACTTTTTCCTGCTTGCATATGTACTCAGACACACAAGGACTTATACTGGGGCTTTACAAATATAAATACATGATGGCAACATCACACTAGGAGTTTCTACATTTCTATTCTTTAAAAACAGCTACTGACAGCATGGTGAATCATCACATAGTGAGTACAATGTGCTACCAATTCTTATTCTTTCTCAGAAACCTTGAGAAGATTACAGTATCTGTAATTTCCTGAAGATGTTTTACTACCTGGGGCATTTCTTAAATGGTATAATTTAAATAATTGATCAATTGTTTGTTACCCCATTTTTTCCACACAAGCAAGTACTTGAGATTCAAATAAATTGGTGTTCAGATTCCAGTGGAAATATTGTTGAAATCTGGCCCATAATCATATTCCTAAACACTTTCAAAAGGAACTGGTGAAGTAAGGACCTGTTTGTTAAGATTTTTCCAGATAAGTTGCTTTTTCTTGGGGTCTACATCCAGGAGAATTCTTACACATTACATCTGGAAGGCCCTGCCTAATTTCCTTAGTCATTTTTCATTTATAGAGAAGTGCAATGACATGATTGGAAAATTAAAATATCTTAAAATAACCTTCCCACAGCTTTTCCTTTTCTCCTTTATATAGGTGTATGAGTTTACCAAACCTGACTTGTAACATTTAAAAATTAGAGTACTGTAACTGCTTAGCAAGGTTGGCACCAGTGGAAGATCAGAATGGCTTGGTTAGATACAGCACTTGAAAAATAATTTTCAGGGCAATAGCTGCATTGGCATTACATACTTAAACATGTCAATGACAATTCAAGTAATCCAGAATTGGAAACCAAGGTTTAGATGTTGGATATATTAGCTTACTATTCCTATTTAAATATTCCCATTTCATATTAAATAAGCCCAAATATAATATTTCTTTGAGTTTAATTCTCTGCAAATTCATCTGTGATGGCCAATTAAAGCATCTGTTAAAGAAGCTTCTTCTACCCTGCCATCACTTTTCTTCTTTATTTACACATCCAACTTTAGACACACTGAGAATGAAACTTATGGACCAAAAGGGAATGGGCAAAGGTGACATTTTTCTTCATCTTTTTTATGTTGGCTCTGACCAACTATCAGGCTAATACAGATCTTTTTTTAAAAAAAGAATATTTTAATATGTAAAAAGGAATGGCAATCAGCTATTATGAGCCCTGGTGGCACAGTGGTTAGAATGCTGTATTGCAGGCTAACACAGCCAGGAGTTCAAACCTGACCGGATCAAAGTTTACTCAGCATTCCATCCTTCCAAAGTCGGTAAAATAAGGACCCAGATTCTTGTGGGCAACATGCTGACACTGTAAACTGCTCAGAGAGAGCTGTAAGGCACTATGGAGCTGTATACAAGTCTAAGTACTATTTCTATTGCTATAAAGATGGGATCTTGTTCAAGATAGTTGCTACCTAAAAAACAAGGTTCTCCTTAGTCTGCTGGATCATTCAGAGTGCAGTCCCTAGTGAGTAGTATTACACTGTCCAAGATCCAGATAGCCTTGTTGCATTCCTGTCATGAGATAGAATCACTTGTGCTGCATATACAATACAGGTTTGCACTGAGTCTCCAGCAAATCAAAGAGAATTGAGACTTACTTACATCCTGATTAAGGGTAGCACTACATACTATATTTTTCAATTAGCATGAACAGAGACAATGCAATATTCTCATTATTTCCTTCTGTTCAACACAGTTATATTTATTCTATGAGCAGCATAGTTTCAGTTTGTATAATGTACTGCATATCATCAGTTGAAATAAAGCCATCACTTAAAAAAAAAAGTCATGTAGATTTGCAAAGGAGTGTTACCATTTAAACTTGTAGTGTGACACTAGGTGATAATCTGTAAAAGTAATGGAATATGAAGCCTCTGTTTTTCTCATTCTCTCCCTTTCTTTGTGATCATCTGTCATAAAGCTTTGTTGACTGCCATCAGCTCCTGCACTTGCTTTTTGTTGCTATTTTTCTGTACTTATATGTAAATGCAGGTCATTTGCTGCCTGCTTTTTCTTTTCATCCCCCCCCCCCTCTGCTTACTTACCTTTAGGGCTGGCTATAGGACTGTTTCAATCTGGTTGTGCAGAATTGTTTCTAAGGGCATTTGGTTGAAAGATTTATGTTGAAGCTGCAAGAAGGATGGCTTTAATTCCTGCCCAGTTCATTAGTATACATATTTCATGTGGCTTTTCATTATTTATTTTAAACTCCTCAGAAACTACAGTAATGATCAAACCATGCATTTAATAAATTCTCTGGACTGAGCAGAGATCTCTTAGAGTCAAATAAATATGGACAGAGAGCATTGCTTGATGGCCAGGCCACTAGAATGCACATCGTGTGGATAACTGCAACAACATTTGCTCTCAGAAAGCTGATTGCCAGGCTGGTCGCTTTGTTCTGACCAAATTAAGGATGCATTTTGATTTTTTTTTTTTAAAAAAAAAGGTGTTGTAAACCTGATTAGATTCACTGGGCAGTCCATCTTCTGCCTACCTATATGACATTTCATTGACCTCAATACAAATTACTTCAAATGAAATGTATATAGAATTGTTGCCTTGCTTTGGAGAAAATGTGAACTGATATAACTCCCAGTAGTTATAACTGCCTATGACTTGATAAAATCATTTTGATTTAAACTATAATAGCAATTCATTCAATAATCAGCTTATACTGTATGGTGATTAGTTCAGCTTTCCAGTTTGAAGAGCCTTTTGCCATGACCCCTGATGCATATAAAAGAGAAGCAAGTAGGCAGGAATCTCATTATTATCTAGCATAATACTCCTGTAGTGCCTCCAAAAGACCTGGATATGGGTATGTGGCTTTAATTTAGGAGAAGAGACTTCCCTAAGCTTCCAGAAGCATAGATGCCTCAGATGGTATATGAATAGCTGCTCATCTACAGGAATGATTTCCACAAAAGTGTCAAGTTCTTATTGGCTGAAATATGTAGTCCCGATACTTGGTTCAGGAAGTTTGCATTAGTGCCTAGATTTTAAAAATACTATTAATGTTTTAATCTGAATGTTGCTCAAATTAAAAATCACAGAGAAAACAAATGAACATTTCATAAAGAGGAAAGATCATATAGTCATACTTCAGTCTATGTTGACATCTCTTGAATGGGAAAAAAAAGAGGTTGTACCAAAAGTGCTAGCCACAACAATCTGCAGAAACATTTATGGTACAGTTAATATACTTCCAAATTGCACTGAGTTCTTAGAAGGAAAGAAACTAAGGAGTATAAACTTACATACTACATTTTCTCAAAGAACAGATTGGTTTATGTTAGAGTAGGTAATGTTAATAATTAGGTTTACAAACTCTAATAATATTCCTTATTATAAAGAGAGGGCTCTGTCCTAAGTGGTAACAGGGCTGGAATTAATTTTCTTGTTTATTCAGAGTGAAAAGAAAATT